AGTGTACAAGCTCGAGAGAGAGAGAGAGAGAGAGAGAGAGAGAGAGAGAGAGAGAGAGAGAGAGACAGAGAGAGAGAGAGAGAGAGAGAATTATACAGTCGTCTGCAGACGACATATTTGTTATTCTGCTGATCTTCTATGGCCTACTTCTTGCGTCAATACAGAAAAACGCTAGGGGGCGTGTCCCTCCTGGTTGTTTTGAGATGTGGAGACGGGAGGGGGAGGGAAAAACGGGAAGAGGATGGCCGTGGTGGAGGGGAGAGGGGTGAAGGGGGAGCGTAGGAGGAAAGGATGGGGGAGGTATTCTCCGAAAGAGAAAGATTTGAAAGGGAACAGAATAGTATTATCATTACACAATGTAACAATAAGAATAATAAAGAAACATATTACACATAATTGATTCCCAAGAGGGCATTTTGATTACAAAAGCAAAAATACGTACATGGATAGATAAATACATAATGTACAGTGAAACCTAGTCTAACGGGAACCTGTATAAGACAACCACCTGTACAAACGACGGCCACACCCTATTTCCTCCCTTGATTATTGTTTATATGGTCGCTTTTAAGCACAAGGCTGTTTTGAAAAAATCGAAGATATATAAATGTTTTTGCCCCTTGTTTAGTTTCTTCAAAAGACAAGGAGTGTGTTCTCTATAACCAAACAAATATACACACCAATGAAACCAAACTTCTCCTGTAGGTAGGGCAATGCCGACTTGTGATGTAGGTCACGATTTCTGGAAACCCCCGAATTCTGGGTTAGCCCGCTTGTCCTTAAAAGCGACCATATTAAAAAAAAATTACAATGATACTGCGTAAGACATCCACCTGTCTATAAAGCCCACTTTTCACCTCAGCAATGGGTGGCTGTGACCGTCTTATACAGTTTTGACAGCATTTCAATTGTTAAATTTTTAGGTTATTCTATTAAAATTTGTTCTTTTTTTATCACAGAAATCAAAATGGTGGTCGCCAAGGTATGGAAGACAGAGAAGCCCTTCGAGGGTACCCCACAGCTCTCCGACTTCAAGCTGGTGGAAGAAAAACTGGCCGACACTCTTAAAGAGGATGGTAAGAAGAACTGTTTGTTCATCTTTTTGTTTGTCTGTTTGTTCGTTTGTTTGGTTGTTCGTTTGTTTGTCTGTTTGTTCGTTTGTTTGTTCGTACGTGAGTGTGCATACAGCGTACTGGTTTTAAGATCAATTGTCAGGGTAAAAAAACCCAACAACCAATGTTTGTTGGAAAAAGAACAGTTCTGTTTGTTTAAAAGAAAGACCCTCTCTAAACGTGACGATGTGAAAAAGCC